ATGCTGACCAAATACCTTTTTGAGCTGGGACAATTTAATATAATTATTCCGAAAATTAACTTCAAAATCTATAGCTATTAGGAATTTGAGCGGTTCCCTCTTTGCCTTCATTGCTTACACGAAATTTAACACAGACATCTTACAAGGGCTATCTTGATTCTTTATACCTCGACGATTTTCCATATGGAAAGTATTTGCAAAAAATTCTTTTGGTGTCAGATGTGGCCGATAAATACTTTTCTCGCAATCAGCGGGATGGTTAAAATCTTTGAATCTTGTTTGCTTGGACAACGCGGTGCGGTTATTTCGCCCGTGCATATTCCCGAGTTTACAGAAGTATTTTCACGCCTAATTTGTATGCCGTGAGTATTGCAAAAAAGAGGTATGACGGTATTTTCATTTAGAGTAAACGTCCGTTCCAGTCGAATGGCAAACCCTAGGTTTTAAATTTCGACATTACTCTACAACTTCTTACGCCTTATATCTGCTTTTAAAAATAATTGAAATTTCGCTTTTATCCATAGCAGTTGACACCGAAAAAGAGAATAGTAGATAGTTACTGCGTAAAACATTTTGGTTATCAAGTTATCAGGTACCTAGATTGCTCTATGTGAGAGAATGCACTTAATTCTATGGTAAACATATAGTTGATAATATGACAACATACTCAACCATCTCATTTACCTGGCGAATCATGATCAAAGCATTTCACTTACGTACAAGACCAAGTTATTTTAGCTTATCTTGATCCAATTTATGTTATTCGTGTTCAGCTTTTCCAGCGATCCAATGGACTTCAGTGGTATAAGGAAGTAGTCTCAGAAGCTCCATTTTACATGGACAACACAGTCGATGACCTCATCGCCACTGTAGAGGTATGCCATCAGTACCCTTGTTCATACGAATCTAATTTCACTTCTATCGTACCGGACTTATCTCTTATTTGACTTTATAATAATGTTGCATTATTAATCCACCTTCATTTAAAATTACCTTTCCGGCTTATATCGAGACCAATGATGATGAAACGGTATTTGCTACCATGCGGAACATATTAAGGCAATCCTAGCTATCACCATGTTTCTTGAGCTATCAGGTAGCCTTTTAGTCTGGAACAGTACACTTGACTGTTCATATTACTTTTGAGAGACTTGCACTTGCAATATCATAAGACAAATGTAATAGAATTTGGGTTGCACGTTGCCATCAAACGTAAATGCCGCCAGTCGGTTTTCTAACAATGTATATTCTCATGAAAATTCGTTGATTTATTTATCAGATGACTGTTGAACTGCATATTTTGACTTTTTTAAAATTATATTTTGTTATTTCTCATGTCACCTCCAAAAGGCGTATGTGTTGTAAGCATAAAAATAATGTTTATCAATCGTCAGAAATTTGTCTTTTGTGTGCGAGAAAATCTGTGTCTCTTTAGTGCGGCATGAATATTTTCTGTGATATTAATCTTGTAGTTTGGCTTTTGCGTTTTCTCGCTAAAGGACATTTTTCGCCTAAGGAGTATATGGATAACTGAACGTGTGATTATATACGGCGAAGAAGAGTTCTTGCAAAGTATCGGCTGCCCAAAATTTTGTCAAGAATTTCATCTTTAATAAATTATTAATGGACCGTAGACAGCGTTATTCGTGTCAGCGCGTAATTCCCTCTATAGTCCAGCTAAAATGAAATTCTGTTAATCACCTTACTTTACCATAAATACTAAGTGAATTGGGGTAATTCTTCACATGATTACAACTTGAATAAATACCCAATAGATTCAGGTCAAATCGCCGAAATGAAAAAGGCCAAATCAGATAGGA